AAACGAACAATGGTCAAGAAGGGATCCATTAACTCGGAAATATAGGATCAGGAGTACCGCTGACTCCATCCAGATTCGAGTTCCTAGTCGAACATCGATAAATGTCGGAAATCAAAATCTTTGGCCAGAGTCTATTATTAGTCATATGAAAGCAAGTTCGTGATGACGAGTTCCGAACATATTGATCGACGATTCGGTAGAAGATCGAGTTTAGAATTTTGACATTCCATGAATCCGTGCTCGATCAGGATATATCAATGGAGGGACTTTATCTACATGGTCCATATAATCTGAAATGGGTTCGATGAAGTATTTCTTCATCGTGGTTTAGGGACTATGACACATTGCTAGATGTTTACCATAGTCGTTAGGCCTCCGGAAAGGTTTTCAGATTCATCCAGAACCGGCTCACGGCTAATCCAGGATGGACCTACATGGTCACACCAATAGCCTTGAGAAGTTAGAGAAAAATAAGAGAGAGAAATGATTATCCGAAGAGGGCTAGCACATTCCGAGTGTAATGATAGGATTTCTATGGTAATAGTTACATAGAAAATTATTTGTGACATTTTAAGGGTTAAAATAGTCAAGCAATAATTAATTATATTTAATTATTATATCTTAAAGCGTTAAGATAAATGAGATGAACTAAATAACCTTTTAATAGTTAAAGGGCAAAAGGGTAAACTTGTGGGTTGTTAATGTAAACTAGTTTAGTTTACATGGGCTCTTAAATAATATTGATTATTCAAAGGGTAAAATAATAAACACTTGGGCTCCTTTTAAAATAAGATTTTATTGGGGCATAGAAGTTAAAAACAATTAATTACAAAATGACCCATGTATATATAAATGCAAATGGTTGCATTTTAGGTCAAGGATTCATTTTAGTTCTCTAAAAGAAAATCAATCTCTCTCTCTCTCTTAGGGTTCGGCCATTCTCTCACTCTCTCAAGGTGGTGTTAAAGTGTGAAGGATTTATCTCTTTGAATCTTGGCTTCATCAACCTTAAGCAAAGGAGAAGGCATAATGTTTTTCAAGTTTTGTTTGAAATTTTTTTGAATCCCATTAATCCAACCCTTTCATGCTTTCAATCTATATTTTCCGCCACCTTTTCATGTTGTTGTTTCACCATGTTGTCCTCTACTGGGCCGAGCTGTGGCTTGATCTTGCTGATCGCCATAGCCTGCTCAGGGATGCCTATTGGCCTTCCTTTTCCCTTAAATGTCATCTGCACTGCTCTTATGTAGCAGTCGCGAGATTCGTGTTGAGATTCTTTTACTTCCCTAATCACCGTCGGAGTGGGGAACTTCATTTTCAAATGATAGATGGAGGTGACGACCTTAAAACTTCGTAGTAGAAGTCGTCCCAGAATGTCATTAAAGGCGGACGGATAGTCCGCTACCAAAAACTCCATCATCTTGGTCATTTCGTTGGTCTCACCCACTGTGACAGGGAGTGCGATCGTTCCCATAGGAATTAGATGATCCCCAATAAAACTATAGAGAGGGATAGAGGTAGGCTTTAGGTCTGCCTCGTCCAATTGAATTTTTTCAAAAGCTCGCTGAAACAGGATATTCACAGCGCTTCCATTGTCCACCAACATTATGTGGACTTCACACCGACCTATTTTAGATGCGTTGACGAGTGCATCCTCATGGGGATGATACAATCGCACCGAGTCTTTCTCTATGAAGGTAATCTCTTCTTCCCTGCGAACCTTGGCGGGTCATGACGCCGTGCTCATTACACTCACAGGGTCATGACGAGCTTCTTGAGCGTACATTTTCCAGGCACCTCGAGAATTCCCATGTGTGGTCCTCCAAAGATGATCCCCACACAATAGAGACCTTTACGACCACGACACTTCTTTCCTTGTTCCTCTTGATCCTTTCCCCAAATAGGAGTCGGACCATCAACATAGTTCTTGAAGTGCCCCTGCTTGATGAGGTCTTCAATTGCTTGCTTGAAAGCTCGACACTCATCGGTGTGATGCCCATTATCCCGATGATAGCGACAATATTTTTTGTTGTTCTTGGCTAAGGGGGGATTCTTCATGGGCTCTAGCTCTCCGAGCAAGCTGGCCTCCTCTGATTTATCCAGAATGGCCGACACTGAGGCATTCAAAAGAGTGTATTGGCTTTTGTTGCGATCGCGACGGGGAACTTGGACATAATATTTTTTGGGCTCAAATCACTGCTTCTTTCCTTTCCACTGATCGTCATTATCCCATCTGTGATCAGCCATCCTACTGTTCTCCCCCTGGTCAGGAGCACTAGTCGAGGGACTGGGGTCGTGGCGATTAAGAGTGGCCACGAAATTTTTGATTCGGGGATACGTCTCAGTAAGGTCGTGGAAGTGGGTGAGGGAAACATCGTCCTCAGATTGCAATTCTTTCCACAAGTCAGTCTGTGGGAGAACCGGACTCTTCGGGAGTGTGAGCCACTTTGTGGAGTTCCCCGTGGAATATGTCTATGTAAGACTAGAGGGATTCATTCCTCTCCTGATGTATATTGCTTAGATAGCTCAACGACATCGAGAAATTCCTGTTCGCTTGGAAGTGCCTTAAGAATGACGAGCTCATTTGTTGCCACGAGCTGATAGATCATGCAGGAAATGATCTGAACCAGCACTTAGCATAAGCAGTCATAGTTACTGCCAAGCAGCGACATTTGGCTAAGTCAAAGACTTGGTGGAGTTCCATGAGGCCGTTGAATTTGTAAAGATGATCCTGTGGATCAGAATTCCCATCAAACGCCCACATATCGGGCATTCTGAATCTCGACGGGAGAGGAGCAGCTAACATTGCTGGAGAAAAGGGAGACGCCTTGATGACCTTCCCACGCTCATTCTGCTGAGCTTTAAGCTGATCCAAAGCTCGCTGTAATTCCTCAATTTGAGGTAATGGAGCTACTTGAGGATCACTTTCTGCAACGTGGATTCGACCCTCACGGTTGCCGTTGAGGAAAGACTGCAAATTGGACTCTTCCTCAACTCGTCTGCAAGCTCCGGTGAACCTTGACACACGTTGGCTGGGGCCATGTGAAGGCATTAAATGGCTCGGGGAGTTTTCTCGACCTCCGTGGTGGTCAGAACCGACCTGCAGACGATGGGGGTTTCCCACATGATGACAGTTGAGATCATCATTTCGGCGATATTGGGAATCTCCTTGCCTTGCACTTTTGTGGGAGTGCCCATGTAACGTGGCATGGGGTGGCTCATACTGCAACATGTCGCCAAGTCGTAATGCCACAAGTATTCTACTCGTTGCACGACCAGCATTTACTAGTCCCTCGAAGCCCTTTGGCCCACTGTTCGCCACTTGCTTTCCTTACTTTTACTCATTGCGATGCACGCGGTATGAGCTTTTGCCCTTTTTCGCGCTTTCGCACGACCTGCAGGCGTCTTTGGTGGTGGCACCGCCTCGTCTGACTTTGGTGGTACGACCCAATCCAAATGGTATAACCTCTGACTAACCGTTTGGAGAGTATTGTTGAACCTCTCCAGGTAATCTATCACGTCTGGGTCGAGTTGTGAGCTCGAAGGAATATTCGCCATGGTACTCTACTAGACTAGAGGCACTTCGAGAGAAGAGTCATCTTGTACCCGGGGGATCTCCTCATTGTCGAGGTATTTGCTAATGGATAGGACCAATTGGTCAGAGATTCCTGATGAAGAGCGGATACTAAATTAGGCCCTCCTTCTAGCGCTAAACTGTTGATGCTTGATTTTGACACCGACGACTCGCACGTATAAAGTGCTAAACGAACTTAAAAATTACACGTGATATGGAACTGCGCAAGGAGAGAATAAACAAGAGACAATTTTTAAAGTAGTTCGGATGCTCAAAAGCGAATCCTACGTCCACTATAGTTGTATTAATGGGTGATTATAGTCAGGTCGCATACAGCGAGCTGAGTTACAATCTAGAGAGAATTTATATACAAAGAGAAAGAGTCTGCTTTAGAAAACTAAAAATGAGTGAATCCCGTAAATGAGAGAGGAGCCTTCTATTTATAGTCGAGGGATCCAAGGTAATAATCATGATTTTGCAGTCAGGTAGGTGTGATATAATTCCTAACCTACTTCCCATTGACTGATTGCACATGAGATATCCTTAAATCGCGTAGGGCTTGGGCAGGTAGACAATTCCTAGCCACTCACAAGCCAAGCTTTCAATTGCCACACTGACGACAGCCATACCTCTTCCGTCCTTGCGCAATGTGGTAACGTCTGGACGACACAAAGCCTCTAAATTCTGATTGGCCCTTATTGGCATAAGCTTACGTTGGCCCTGGTTTTTTAGGCATAACATCTTACTACAGGAGTTCTTTTATTAACATTCTAATTGAAGCAAACAACTTTAATTGATACTACTGGCTGGATTGCAACCCTTCTCTATTGTGTCCCGACCTCTGCAGAATGCTTCATATACAATCCAATTGCTTTTTAAGAACACCCCACCCCCCCAACCCCCCGGCGCGTTTTTTAATTTTCCTCCGCCGCGTTTTTTAATTTTCCTTTAGAGACAGTTTGGTGGAAACGAGCAACCAGTCCTAATGCAGCCCAAGGAAATGGCCCGAAGGTGTAAGTATAGTGTTCTCGTGTTGTAACTTCGATGGGTTTGAAAATTATCGGACTACAGGACTAAACGTGACATGAGTGATCTGGGAAATCCCTGTGAAAGATCACATTTTTTCACCAGGTTGATAAAGATCTTTGAATTCTTCCTGATTAAAAAGTGTTTGTAGAAAAGGCCTTAGAAATGCTTAGATGTTCCTGACTATGGCCCAATCAACTTGATAGATTATCACAGAAGAGGGATAAGTCAAATGAATACAAAAAGTCCATCAATTAGACTAAAAATTCATTTGTGTTTCCAAAAGCAATCAAGATACCACTCAACCTCCCATCTTGAGATGCACAAACAAGCCATGCAAACGGGCTTGTAATTTCCAAGAATGATGACAATAATCTAGTGATATTTAACCATCAAAATCTGAAAATTAATGATTCACCCTGGTTAGGAGCATATTATATCAATGAGTTTCTATATAATGCGAAACACAACACACTCATCCCAGTTATGAAGTTACAGGAAGGAACAATGCATTCCACTAGGAATGTCAAGACAACCGTCTGAATTTCATGCTGTGATTAACTGATTATGATACAAGAGCATCAGCGAAGAAGCTGAGAAGAGACTTCAGAGGAAATAAGAGTGGGAGACAACAGAGTTATAGATTTGCTGCATCAATAATGTACACAAAGGAGTGTAAAGCAAAAGATTATAGCTTCCACAATTTTGCTGGCGGAGTAATATCTTCGGTTCTCCTTAGCTCGACTAAGTGAAGCAGCCAATGCATATTCTTCCCTTCATGGGAACAAACTCTTGGAACCCAGACTTCTTAGATGACTACTTTGGCAATATTCCATATACCATTGGTGCAACTTTCTGGCCTCTTCTGATATCTCCATCAGTTTACTTTCTCATACTTTTGCACCAAGAAACGACTGAGAAAAATCAAAAGTTTAGAGAAATCATGCAGGCTTTTAATTACAAATTAAAGAGTTTGGGCTAACAAGCTATGAATTTACCTTCATCTTAATTGGAGGAGCACCAGACTTAACTGTGGTTGTGCTCCCAAAACTGAACTTTGGCTTCTTATCTTGTGGCTTCAATATTTGGAAAGAACACATTAGAGACTCATCCACACTCATCATGGCACCAGCGTTGTCAAACTCTCCACAGTAATTAGGTGCTGAAAATATGGTTACCAGCTGTCTATTAGCAAAAAATTCATATCCATCTTCCACAACCTGCAATTTATAGAAACATAACCAATGAGTGAAAACACTCTAAACTGTCTCAGGACATAAATGATTCAGTTTGAAGACATCCCAAACCTCATGGGCACGACAAATTAAATCAAGATCATGCTTCTGAAGAAACTCTGTCACCCTATCAGCACCAAAGGTATAGGAAACTCCTCTATCATTTGGCCCCCACCCTTTAATGTTTCTACCAGGATCAGACCACAGGAGATCACATAGCAAACCACTTTCTGGAACCTCAATAGGTCGTGGTAAATATCTTATCTGATCCAACCTATGCAAGTCAGGAGAAAGTCCACCATGCATGCAGAGTATCTTTTCATCAATAAGAGCTGCCACAGGTAGGCAGTTGAAACAATCTGTGAATACTTTCCAAAGTCTAACATTAAATCTCCGTTTACACTCGTCATAAAATCCATAAATACGATTTATTGAAGCGCATTCATGGTTGCCCCTCAGAAGGAAGAAGTTTTCAGGATATTTCATTTTATATGCAAGGAGAAGGCAAATTGTTTCTAGGCTTTGCTTTCCACGATCTACATAATCACCCAAGAATAGGTAATTGGAACGAGGAGGTAAACCGCCATACTCAAAAAGCCTCAAAAGATCGGTGTACTGGCCATGGATATCTCCTGGGTGTCATCAAAAAATATGTGTAAGACGTACATTCAGAATGATATACTTTGGATAGGCAAAGGCGTATAAATCTAAAGGAACCAAGCAACTGCAGTGTTCTTTTTTTTTTCTGAAATAGTGTCTTAGGTAGTATTCATATGTTCTAATTGCTACCCTTATAGATAAAGCATTTGTAGAAAGGAATTTCAAAGTCTGTAATACAGTTCAGGACATAATTCTACACTTCTAAAATTGGTTTTAACCAGGTATCAATAAAACTGGAGTTATGGAACTGTAGTGCAGGGGAATTAGTGCATGATTATGAATATACAAGTGCAGTTAGGTTTAAACAGGGTAGGAAAAAGCTAAAACTTGAGGACTATAAAAAGGCAAGAAGAAATGAGGCTCAGGGAGCTATTATGGTCTTAGGCATCAGTCTACACAACAATGAGAAAGAATAACTAGACTGATTTAAGAAATTTTGAGCTACTAAGGTCACTGATTATTGGGTCAAGTTTTACAAAAATGAGAAAGAATAAGTAGACTGATTTAAGAGTAATTATGTGCTAAGAACTTAGATAACAGAGCAGTTTAAGAAATAGGTTATTGCATTTCCATAAAGAACATATTTATGCAGTTAAGTACACTGAGTATAAGCACATTACATATACAAAAGGTAAAAAGTTATAATACCCATTCCCATTACAGAATTTCTCTGGTGAGACCCTACTTAAGGTTTAGAATTGCAATTTACTAGACCCGACAGCAAATCTTATAACTGAAGTAGATGTTCCAAAGTCATATTCAAATGGTCACGAGCTTCCTCAATAAAATAAAAATTGAGGTGATGCATAAAGGAACAGTCTATATCAACAGTAAGATCCAATTTAACCAAGAACACAAGCAGCAATTTCCTAAGCTAAACTCAACTAGAGCCCACCGTTCAGTTAAAAAATACGCAACTGATTCATAAACTACAAACTGGAGCAATATCTAACAACACAAACAATAACCAGTATGCTTGGTTTAACCAACAATCAAACTGGAAAAATGGAACTAAACTCACCTCCAAAATAGAATTCAACCATACCAAGAAACTGAAATTCCCATTTCAAACTCGAAAGTGAATCATGACCCACTTAAAAACTTTAAATTTTTTCCATAAAGAACACAAAATTTGCAATAATTTCAGAACTTATGAAATTCAAAAAACATACTACTCATCAAGCTCAAAAATTGACAACGACCCAATTCATAAGAGTCGATTTTAACCAAAAAGATGATTAAAAAAAACTGAGTATAGGAAGTCGTAGAAAGATACCGCATATCTTGATGGGAGCTTCAAGCTCTAAAAGATTGGGCTGCCTCAAGAAAATACCCTTGGAGACAACACAGAGTTGCCTGATTTCACCCTCAGATAACTGAACTTGCTTCCCTGGTTTTGTTCTGACATCAAGAAGCCTCTTAATTATACTATCAAGAACAGCAGTCTCCATATCTTGATCTTAAGTCTTTCCTCTCCCAATTAAATTTCAAGAAAAAGTTAAAAGAAAGAAAGAACAAAGTAAAGAAGAGGAAGAAGATGGAAATGCAAAGAAGAATAAAGAAGAAGAGCGCATCATAAGAAGAAAAAAAGAAAAAGAGAAAGAGAGCTTTAAATCAAATGAAATGAGAAGTCTTCTTTAAAAAAAAAAAAAAAAAATAGCTATGAAAAGAATTGATTTTGATTACTTTGTGAAGATGCAAAGAAGGAATGAAAGGGTGGTGTCCGTTGGTTGAAATAAAAAGCAGAAGAAGAATATATTCGTTTAAGATTGAAAGCAGTGGGAGAGTAGTTGTTTTTAGTAGTAATCTTGAGATGGGTTAGTGATTGTGCGAATGTTGAGTGATAAAAGGTAGGTGAAAATCCACCCCTGAGCGGCTTAGCCTAAGACACTTCAGACTCAGATGATAACGGCAAACCACGATGACAGCATGTATGAGAACGAGACTGACAATGAGCATCACTCATTTTATAAAAGCTGAGTTTTTTGGCGTGTTTTAAGTACAGTACTTTGAAACCGCGGGGTGCCATGGCAAGCAGCACCAATAGTTTGACGCACGCACTCGCTCACTGTTCCAAGGGAAAATTTTCACCCTAAAGTTTAATACTTTTTTTGAACTTCTACATGTTTTAGAAAATAACAAAACACTCCGAAAACCATGTAGTGTTATACTACTACGGTATTACCTTTAGTTTTCCGGGTGTCATGATTAATTCTCCAAATTTGTGGGAGTTAACTGTTTTCAGACTAAATTAACCTTCCTTGGACGTTTTTGTATCATAATAGGGGCTATGGGCTAACAAAAGCACCAAAGCAGCCCTCATGTGCTTGTTTTCTATTTAAATAATAAAAATTTTGCTACTGTTTGTACATCATTTTCCACGTTGGGAGTATTGTATTTGTGTTATTGTTGTAATATACATTTTATGGCTCGGCTTAATTCACCATTCTTATACTTTTTATAATAGTATTTTGAAAAAAAAAAGTTTGAGTTATTTTTATGAGAAATATAATTATTAATACTTTGAGAGTTGAATAAAATAGAATTAGATTTTAAGAATATTGAAACAAATGCATTTTGAATTTTTAAGATATGATAGTGGAATAGAATATGATAATAATAGTGAACTAAAGGGGCTCTCTATTATCAACCACTTTTCTAGAATGATAATTGTCAGAACAGTTCTTTCATCATCAAAACCTTATTGTTTAACCACCATTGGGTGGTCTAACGGTCAACTATGACTCTTAGGTATATTACTTAAGAGGTTTTGAGTTCAATCCACTTGAGTTGTTGATAGGTGTGGCCACTGAGAGGAATTATCCACTTGTCAACTTCAAGACTCTGTGGGATTATTTGAGGTGTACGCAAGCTAGTCCAAACACCATTGGTAACCAAAAATAAATAAATAAACCCTTATTGTTTAGTCGGCTTAAACTAAAGAAATCAAATTATTTGACAGTCTTAAAGCCTTTTAGCCTAATCTTAGGCCCTAACTCACCCTTGGTGGACGAACTTGGCACTGAACCCCTTGGGTAATAAAGTTGCATTGCTTAGTATTAAAATTTTAAATGATAATCAATAGGGGTTCAATCAAAGTGCCGTTTTTGGTGCATACATTTATGATTTTAGTCTCTAGCTCAAAAACAAAAGCTACTATGAATCGACTTCTCTCTCATGAGAGAATAAAGAAAGAAATAGGCAATGGGTTGGGCGCCTTTGTCTTCCTCTAAATAACAATGCCAAAAAATAAAGGTACTACAATCATATGTATTGAATGAAATACATGTTAGACGGTCAAAAATATTTGTTCTATTCTTTAGATTCCTAATGTTTAAACTTTGAAGTCACCTATCACAATAATATTGTGACTTATTTGGTCTTTTAGACTTATAAGATATTTAATAAATCCCAGAAATTGATTGAGATGCACAGAAATTGATTCGGACATCCCGATTAAAAAATAATAAATAAAAAAAAAAATACATGCCAAAACTGTTGTAGCTAATTGGGTAACAGTTGTATTTCAATACATTGAGAAATTGCATTATTGAGCTGTCATTTTCCAAATTAAAGTGCTGCTCAACCCAAACTTAAAAGACATTCTAAGTTGGAGTTTGAAGCTTTTGTGGTGGATCTTTACTTTGAGTAAGCCCACTGATGCTGGTAGCCATAATGGGCTTTTATTGGCCCAATTGGGTCTGCACTAATCTAAAGGTTCACTTAACGCAAACATATTGTTTTTGTAAACGGGCCTATGCATGGGAGCCGAATAGTGCTGTTGGGCCTTTGGGCCTTCTGCTCTTCAGCACTAAACGTAGTCAGAGTATACACGGGTTCCACATGTGGGATATGCTTGGAATATTCTAATGACAAGGAATCGATCAAGGGCCATTCGTCCGGATAACGCAATTAATTAATAATACTGTTATAAAAAATTAACTATTTGATGCAGACTTGGTGATGAGATGAGTAAATGAAGCTGATATATGTGTCTGTGAAATGGTTGAAGTTGAAGCAGGCTTAGGGTAGATTGGCTATGGAATTTGAATAATAGTTGGTTCATGCATGACAGTGGTGATCAGAAAATCGATTTAATCTTTTCATTTGGTTTATAATCATCAGTAGCCGAAGCTGCAGGTTTTTTATACAGCAGACACTGTGTGGCCTAATTTTGGTCCATTTTACCACAGTTTCCTCACTAAACTTACACCAGAAAGCACGGANGAGACTGACAATGAGCATCACTCATTTTATAAAAGCTGAGTTTTTTGGCGTGTTTTAAGTACAGTACTTTGAAACCGCGGGGTGCCATGGCAAGCAGCACCAATAGTTTGACGCACGCACTCGCTCACTGTTCCAAGGGAAAATTTTCACCCTAAAGTTTAATACTTTTTTTGAACTTCTACATGTTTTAGAAAATAACAAAACACTCCGAAAACCATGTAGTGTTATACTACTACGGTATTACCTTTAGTTTTCCGGGTGTCATGATTAATTCTCCAAATTTGTGGGAGTTAACTGTTTTCAGACTAAATTAACCTTCCTTGGACGTTTTTGTATCATAATAGGGGCTATGGGCTAACAAAAGCACCAAAGCAGCCCTCATGTGCTTGTTTTCTATTTAAATAATAAAAATTTTGCTACTGTTTGTACATCATTTTCCACGTTGGGAGTATTGTATTTGTGTTATTGTTGTAATATACATTTTATGGCTCGGTTTAGTTCACCATTCTTATACTTTTTATAATAGTATTTTGGAAAAAAAAAAGTTTGGGTTATTTTTATGAGAAATATAACTATTAATACTTTGAGAGTTGAATAAAATAGAATTAGATTTTAAAAATATTGAAACAAATGCATTTTTAAGTTTTTAAGATATGATAGTGGAATAGAATATGGTAATAATATTGAACTAAAGGGGCTTTCTATTATCAACGACTTCTCTAGAATGATAATTGTTAGAACAATTCTTTCATCACCAAAACCTTATTGTTTAACCATCATTGGATAGTCTAACAGTCAACTATGACTCTTAGGTGTATTACTTAAGAGGTTTTGAGTTCAATCCACCTGAGTTGCTGATAGGTGTGATCACTGAGATGATTTATCCACTTGTCAACTTCAAGACTCCGTGGGATTATTTGAGGTGTACACAAGCTAGTCCGAACACCATTGGTAACCAAAAATAAATAAATAAACCCTTATTGTTTAGTCGGCTTAAACTAAAAAAATCAAATTATTTGACAGTCTTAAAGCCTTTTAGCCTAATCTTAGGCCCTAACTCACCCTTGGCGGACGAACTTGGCACTGAACCCCTTGGGTAATAAAGTTGCATTGCTTAGTATTAAAATTTTAAATGATAATCAATAGGGGTTCAATTTAAAGTGCCGTTTTTGGTGCATACATTTATGATTTTAGTCTCTAGCTCAAAAACAAAAACTACTATGAATCGACTTCTCTCTCATGAGAGAATAAAGAAAGAAATAGGCAATGGGTTGGGCGCCTTTGTCTTCCTCTAAATAACAATGCCCAAAAATAAAGGTACTACAATCATAACGTGTTGAATGAAATATATGTTAGACGGTCAAAAAAGTTTGCTCTATTATTTGGATTCTTAAGGTTTAAACTTTGGAGTCACCTATCATAATAACATTGTGACTTACTTGGTCTTTTAGGTTTATAAGGTGTTTAATAAATCCCATAGATTAATTGAGATGCACGGAAATTGATTCGGACATCCCGGTTAAAAAATAATAAATAAATAAAAAGAAATACATGCCAGAACTGTTGTAGCCAATTGGGTAACAGTTGTATTTCAATACATTGAGAAATTGCATTATTGAGCTGTCATTTTCCAAACTAAAGTGCTGCTCAACCCAAACTTAAAAGACATTCTAAGTTGGAGTTTGAAGCTTTTATGGTGGATCTTTACTTTGAGTAAGCCCGCTGATACTGGTAGCCATAATGGGCTTTTATTGGCCGAATTGGGTCTGCACTAATCTAAAGGTTCACTTAGCGCAAACATATTGTTTTTGTAAACGGGCCTATGCATGGGAGCTGAATAGTGCTGTTGGGCCTTAGGGCCTTCTGCTCTTCAGCACTAAACGTAGGCAGAGTATACATAGGTTCCACATGTGGGATATGCTTGGAATATTCTAATGACAAGGATTCGATCAAGGGCCATTCGTCCGGATAACGCAATTAATTAATAATACTGTTATAAAAAATTAACTATTTGATGCAGACTTGATGATCAGATGAGTAAATGAAGCTGATATGTGTGTCTTTGAAATGTTTGAAGTTGAAGCAGGCTTAAGGTAGATTGGCTATGGAATTTGAATAATAGTTGGTTCATGCATGACAGTGGTGATCAGAAAATCGATTTAATCTTTTCATTTGGTTTATAATCATCAGTAGCCGAAGCTGGAGGTTTTTTATACAGCAGACACTGTGTGGCCTAATTTTGGTCCATTTACCACAGTTTTCTCACTAAACTTACACCAGAAAGCACGGATAGCCATGGAACTAAAGCTGGAGATCAAAACTTGACAGCACAACACTTATCTATTTGTTTTTCGGGGGTGACTACAAATATAATTGATATCATATTATACGCAGTGTTACTTACTATTTCGTTATTGAAAACTTTGCAATAGCTAATTATATATGCACATCCACACCTTTTATTTTAATGTAACCAGAAAACTGGCTACATTCAGATTTATAATCGATCAATGTACTGTTTCATTTGACAAATATAATTGATATCATATTATACGCTGTGTTACTTACTATTTCGTTATTGAAAACTTTGCAATAGCTAATTATATATGCACATCCACACCTTTTATTTTAATGTAACCAGAAAATTGGCTACATTCAGATTCATAATCGATTCATGTGCTGTTTCATTTGACAGATTTTATCGTTTTAGTTACAAGTTCTATTGTTCAATGATTATCATAATCGCAATCTTATTATATATTACTATTCTGTATTAATTCACAACCACATATTAAATGTTTGTATTAATATATTCAATCTTTTTTTTTTCATCAAAGTATACAAAGAAGAAAAAAGGGAATTGACTAGTGCGACAAAGCAAAGGGCCACTAATACTTAAGTCTCAATCTTTGCTGAATATTCAAACTTGTCAACTGAGTGTGGGATCCATGCGAAGAAAAATTCGAATTTTAGTATATAGATCTTCGACAACCTACTATAGAAAAGCGACAAAAGAAACCCGGCAACACGTGTTGTTCTCTTATTGGCATTAGCTCATTATAAAAGCCATGCATTTGTTCTAGTTTTTCACCCATCCATCAACTTAAGTCAATTAAGATGAGTAAAACATTCTGCTTGCTTGCTTTGTTACTCCTTGGAGTGGTGCTTTACACCACTCCCACTTCCGCCGATCACCACAAACCTCCATACGGTAAACCACCCGGTCACAAACCACCTTCCACGGAGGAGGAATCTCTAGAAACCGTGGATGGTAAGCCACCCAAACACAAGCCACCTCCAAAGCACAAGCCCCCAACCACCTTCGATGAACCATCTAAAGAAGAGGAGTCATTCCATGACAAGCCAACTTACAAGCCTCCTAAGGGTGGGAAACCACCATATGGCCACCACCCCGGACATCCTCCTGTCGAGAATATTGAGGACTCACACAAGCCACCTGTGCATAAATATCCTCCGAAGAAGCCACCACACAAGCCTCCAACTTCCAACTGATGACTACCAAGCTACAACTAGCAAGGTCAATAAAACAGTATGTAGTGTAGAAATTAATAAGAGCTCTTAACGATCAAATCCTTTGTATGAATGAGTCATCAGTACTGTGTTTGTCCATCTATCTATGCATGCATGGATCATCTGTAGGTTCATGCACGTAATTTCCTAGTTGTACCGTTTGTAGTAATTGGGTTTCAGCTATATATAATGAGCATGCAATTAGCTCTTTTCATGTACAATTTTCTGTCACTACTACTTGCTGAACTAGTATTTGCTTTCGGTTAACGTGCATGCTTGGCTGGATGCTCTTGCCTTTTGCGTATGAATTTACAGAAACACTTGTTGTACTTTCTGTCATAATAATTGGCTGGCTCAGTGTAATATCGGGAGCGAAGTAGACACTAGAAACCATTCATTAATTACGGCCTCAGATTCAGGGGCGGACCCAGCCCGTTGGAGAGGGCCTACCCTCACATTTAAAAAAAAAAATTATTTATATAATCCCATAAAAAAATTCTAATAATAAATATATATATAGCCTTATCTTTAAATATTAAAAAAAATGAGAAATATTATTCATATATCCAAATTTATAAAAAATTTGTTACTTTTATATATATTACATACCTACGTCATATTAAAAGTTTTAAAACTCTCTCCACTCTTTTTCACATCCATCTATTTTTTATGATTTTATTCCTAAAATTCTTTATTCTTTCATTCTATTATTCACTTTTTTTTTTTATGTTATTTGTTCTTAAAATTTTTGAAAATTAAAATTATCAAAACTTTCACTCATTAAGGTGTCACAATTAACTTTGTTTTTCGTTTTCTCAATTATAAGTATGTTTATTGCTCATTTCATTTTAGTTTATTTTAGGGTTGAATTATGATTATTTTTGGAGGTTTTTTATTTTAATTTGATGGGAAAATGCATGGATCTTGTGAGTTTGTTTTGTGTTTTGTGTTTTGTGTTTAAGAATGTTCTTGCTTTTTCAAATTAAACCTTAACTATATTTTACTGAACGTTATTCTTCGCCCTTCACCCACTACTTTTCTATATTTCAAACGTCACCGTTTAGCTACTCAAAGTTATTAAAGAAGATTGAGTTATTATCTGTGTTTATACTAAGAAAATTTTCCCTTTTTTTATTAATTTATATTAAAAGTCAAGGTAACGTTGACTTAATTTAAGTTTTGGTTGACTTTAACTTAGGCTAGGCCTGATCAAAATCATGAGAATTTACATTATAATCTTTGAAAAAAAAGAAAAAAAAGAGAAATAAGAAATTTGTGTAGAACATTTTTGGTGGATTGTGATTGTTGTAAACTTTTTTAATTATATTGGATTTAAGTGAATCGTTAGATTCCCATGGTCTTTTGCTCTCTTTAATTGAAGAGGCTTTTCCACGTAAATTTTGTTTTGTGTTTCCTCGTGAATTGAATGTTATTTTAGACATAATTTACTAAAGATTTTGCTTCTCATAGATTTATTCAAGTGGTAAAGTATTGTATTGTTGCATTATTTTCTTTTAGATTATTGATATTATATTATTTATTTTGCTTAAGGTTTTGTTGCTTTTTTTTTTAATTTTTTGCTAGTTGTCTGACAAACAATGACGGAGTCATGGAGGTCCCTCCTTGAAAAAAATTTTGGGTCCGTCACTGCTCAGATTGATATCGTGTTAGTAAAATTTTACACATGCAACACATCCTCAGGCATTACGAGTTCTGACACTCGTTAGAAATTGATAACGATTTGGAACTTAAGATTTATAGGTGCTAAGACGATCGATGTAAACGACATCATATTAGATATTCTTCGCTCTTATATATCTTAAGAATTCCAAGTAACTAATAGAAGAATTTGAAGAGAAGAACTTGAAAGTCCAATTAATTAATAAGAACAATATTTTAGCTAAATTAAATTCTTCTCCCATGCAATTTGATTACTGGGTAATAATTTACTACAGTAGCATCTGAAGAGATATTGCTAACGTAAGCCATTATATATGTTCTAAATATCAGACTCTATGAGAAAAATGACATGCAAGGTGATGAAGTTGGTGGAAGAAGAGAAGGAGATAAAGTTAGGTTCATGTCAGTTCACTATATTACCAGTTTATTCAAAATCTCCACACACATAAATGATGACCATTATCCATGAAATTGCTTAATATTTTTCTAATTATTTTTTTTATTTGTGGATGATTATTGTTCGATTAGGATGTTTAAGTATGAAAACATCCCTTCTCATTCTTCATTAGGGTTACTTCAGTGGTGGATCCAGGATTTTTGCGGAGAGGGGCCCTTTGCGGCTCCGCTATTATTTACTAAACAACTAGTGAAAACTTTAAAAAATCACCAAACCTTAATAAAAAAATAATAATATAAGAACTTAAGAAAAAAGAATATGCAATAACATAATATTTTACTATTTGAATAAATCTATGAGAAGCAAAATTTTGAGTAAATGTGTTAAGTAAACCTTGAGCAAAACCTTCTTTTAATATTTTTATTTTTGGCTTTCAAAGATTATAATATAAATTTTTATGACTTTAATCATACATAGCCTAATTAGGCTAAAGTCAACCAAAACTTCAATCAAATCAATGTTGCGTTAACTTTTAATATGAATTAATAAAAAAAAAGAATTTTCTTGGTATAAACATAGATAGTAACTCAAATTTCTTTAATAATTTTGAGCAACTAAACGGTGACGTTTGAAATATAGGAAAGTAGTGGGTGAAAGATGAAGAATAATGTCCTTTAAAATATAGTCAAGGTTTTAATTTGAGAAAACATGTTCATTCAGTTTTTAAAAGTTTTAAGAGCGAATAACATGAGAAAGAGAAAGAGAATGAGAGAGTAAAGAATTTTGGGGATAAAATCATAAAAACCAAGTGGAGCCGTGGAGAAAAAGAGTGGAGAAAGTTTTAAACTTTTAATATGATGTGAGTTTGAAATATATATATTAATAGCAAGCTTTTTATGGACCTAGATATATGTATAATAGTTTTCATAATCTAAGCCCTGAGAGTGGGTATGGATATATATATTAATTAATAATTTTTGATGGCCTACACATTAATAATTTTTTTTTTTTTTTTTTTTTGTAAATAGGGGCTAAATCCGCCCCTGGGTTACTTTTAGTATTATATATTATCGGATTACAGTTTAGAATTTTAAAAAAAAAATTATTTTCTGATGTTAATTCTTTATTTTAAAGGTAGGAAAATAGGATGTAAATGATACATCAATCATACTTAGTCCAATCATTTACTTATTATTAATTTCATTTGTGAACTGAATATTTAGCTAAATATTCAGCCATCTGGGTTAGGCCGAACGACTTGTGCATACCCAAAGTTTACCGTAACGACAAGTTGATACCCAAAAGATTTTGAAACGATAAATAGGTACCTTCAGTTATATTCTGTTAATGATTTCTGTTTATTAATAGTGAAAAGACTAAAATGCCCTTCAAAGTTTCAATTTTTGTTTTTTATAAATTTAAAAATTTCTAAAAAACCCCCTAGGTTTGCTAATGTAATTAAACACCCCCATATATAAAAAGTTTGCTAAATGACAAAAACACCCCCACCACCCCCAGTGCCAGATTCCGGCCACCATCACCGGAATCTGGCCAGAAAACTGCATTACAACACAGATCCGTCGGATCTGTGTCGTAACGTGCCGATCTGGCCTTTTCAGGTCAGATCCGCCACAGATCTGGCCGGAAAAGGCAAGATCTGGCCGTCGAAGCAGTAGCCAGATCTGGCCTTTTCCGGCCAGATCCGTGGCTGATATGGCCGGAAAAGGCCAGATCTACTGCCAGATCTGGCATTCGACGCAGCAGATGGAGTTTTGCGGCGTCGACGGCCAGATCTAGCCGTAGATCTGGCCTTTTCCGGCCAGATCAGCCACGGATCTGGTCGGAAAAGGCCAGATCGACGCATTACGACACAGATCCGATGGGTCTGTGTCGTAACGCAACTTTCCGGCCAGATTCCGACGGTGGTGGCCGGAATCTGGCAGTTGCGGGTGGGGGTGTTTTTGTTATTTTATAAAATTTTTATATATTGGGGTATTTAGTGAAATTTGTAAACTTAGGGGGTTTTTTGAAATTTTTAAATTTATAAAAAACTAAAATTCAAACTTTTAAGGGCATTTTAGTCTTTTCACTATTAATAAACAGTAATAAACAGAAATCACTAACAGAACATGACGAAAAGTATCTATTTGTCATTTCAAAACCTTTTAGGTACCAACTTGTCGTTACGATAAATCTTAGGTATGTGTAAGTCGTTCTCCCTCTGGGTTATTGTGAACCAAGAGAATTGTACATGATTTCAGCCCATAGTCTGTTAAGTATAAAAATAATATATTTATTTATGATTTACTTATAGAGCTACGAGGAAGTGTTAGATAATACCTTTATCCTGATTTACTTGGGCCGTAGCGCGGTAGCGGTGTGTGGCTGTTTGAACTGTCCAGACACCTCAATTAACAACAAATATATATATCATTAAAAAAAATTCCAATTATGGTCCCGTTGGCATCCCAGGGTCACCATCGAAGGTGCGAAATGGAGAAAAGCCATCGTTAGCTTTATTAGACTTTTTCTAAGGCTAGTGTCCACTGCCGACGGATTAGATAATTTCCGAATTATTTATCTGAAAATATCTTTAGGAAAAGACAAACGATATTAAAAAATGTGAATGTTTTTTTTTTTCTACCACTTGTCTTGTCATTATCAGAATTGCGGTAATTGCCTTTGCCTTGTGTCTAATTCTGCTTCTTCCTTTATTATATTATTTTTTATTTAAATTATGCACTGGTTGGTGCCACCTGAAATTTTGAGTGAGTGCACACTGCACCTACTTTTCAGTAGTCCAAGACTCCAAGTTTGACATAACTGAGATTTGTTATGTCACTTGTAATTAATTTACTCTTTAATTAATAATTTAATATCCATTTAATTATCTAATAATGTAATT